TCGTTCTTGGATAGTTGCTGCGGGCAACACATGTGCTCGTCCGGACGCTTCGTACAACGCGAACACCGACTCCAACGAGAAGTTGTCATCATAGTCGCCAACAATCAAAACCTGCGCACACGACGACAAGGAGTGGTACAGCTTCAGTCAAGAGAAACAAATGTCATACTGCACATGTCAAAGGTACTCATCGTTGAAGGACTCGGTTACAACTTACTGAGTGTTAGCCAGTTGGTGGCGAAGGGGATTCACCTGGAAGCCGACAGCACCACCCAAGAGTTCAAGCTATACCACGGGAGAGGCGGTCTCTACATCGGGAAAGCAGTATTGAAGAACAACGTCTTCGTCCTCGACTTCGTTTCTGACCTGAGCACTGCAGACAGCGACGCCATCGTGAATTTTACTGACTGGACACACCCTCCAGATCTCGACCCCGACTTCAGCCCGGGAGGTTTTTGGTACTCCCACACTATCCCTGAAGCAGAACGAACACGAGCGTTAGCGACAATTCAACAAACAACAGAAGCAGAGACAACATCGGCAGCAGCAACAACATCGGCAGCAGCAGCAACAACATCGGGAGCAGCGACAACATCAGCAGCAGCAGAAACAACGACACCAGTCACAGTCGACGAAGCACCACCAACACCCGCACAACAGCTAAATCCGACTCAACGCGAAGTCCACCGAAGCGCCAACTTCGTCGCCAGTTTTTACTCCAACTCCGACGCATACCAACGTTCACCCGGACACCGCGCCTCTGAAGAGATCTGGCACGCACGCACAGGACATCCAAGCAACACGGTTTTAAATAACATGATAAGAGCAGGAGTTCTTGACAAAGACTCTCTACTTCTACCCGACGGCAGAGAACTCCAAAAGGCACGAGGGACTTGCCTTACATGCCCCGAAGCTGACTTACCTCATCGACCATTCGCTCCACATCACAACCCGAGCGCACCAGCGTACGCACCACTTGAAAAGGTTTACAGCGACATCCTCTACAATCGCGAACCAGGACAAGTCAACTACAACTACACCATCACCTTCATCGACGCCGCCACTCGATACGTCTGGCATCGTAACCTACCCAGCCGCGACATGGCGCTCGCAGCATTCGCCGCCTGGCTACCGATAGCAGAGAGAGAGTCTGGAACGCAACTGAAAAGCTTCCAGTCAGACGGAGGTGGCGAGTACACCTCTCACCGCTTCAAGCAGTTCCTGGCGGAAAGGGGGATCAAGCAACTCCTCTCCCTTCCCTACGCACATCAGCAGCAAGGTGTTGCAGAAAGAATAAACAGGACCCTGCAGAACAGCATGCGCAAACTGTTACGTGGCATGCGGCTACCCAACCACCAGTGGCCAGCAGCAATGGACCATGCTGTCATGCTGCACAACTTGTTGTCGTCGTCGTCACTCCCGAACAACGCATCACCGCATCTGCTGTGGACAGGGAAGCAGGGCAGCACAAAAATGTTACGAGTTTTCGGGTGCATGGTACAGTACAGACCCCCAGAAGCACGAGCGGGAAGATTTTCACAACGGGCACAGTGGGGACTACACCTCGGCATCGAGAAAAATTACAACGCGTGGAGAATCTTCGACGTCCACACAAAAGAAACAGTAGCAGCACGTGATGTGATCTTCTACGAACGACTCACCCTTCAAACGTACCTCGCCAACTTGCACGAGAATCGGGACCTCACCAGTGGCTTTCGTGGTGACCGAGCCTTCGCGTCAGCAGCGGATGAAGCAGACTGGGATGAGCAGAACGTCGACAACGCATCGGAGGAAGCCGGACCTCTTCCGTACTGCTCCGTCGACGTGCCCATGGATGAGGAAAATCCTCGCGACAGTAACAACGCCGAAGTCTTCTACCATTTCGCCGACAATGGTTACGTAACACCTGCGACAGTCAACACCAACGAAGCAGAAAGGGTAGGGCCAAATTTCATACCCGACCCAGAAGTGGGAGACGAAGCAGCTTATCCCGAGGATCCAGAACTCCCTCGATACTCACAGACTGGACTGCAAATCCTTGGTCTCGTCACCGCAGTCCATGGCGCCGCCATTCCTAAGGAGCCTGCGACGGTTCAACAGGCTCTGGAGGGGGAACATAGGGAGAAATGGCGTGAAGCCATGGACAAAGAGCTGAAGGCACTGGAGGAGCGCAACACTTGGAAAATCGTTCCCATCGGCGTAGCACAAAACAAAACTATCCTTACCGAGAAGTGGGTCTTCCGTGTGAAGACGAAAGCTGACGGCACCATCGACAAATTCAAAGCTCGCTGGGCCGTACGCGGCTTTGACCAGGAGCACGGAAGAGATTACACCGAAACCTTCGCTCCGGTCAGCCGTCACACCTCACTCCGAATCCTTATCGCCGTCGCCGCCATGAAGAAAAAGAAACTGCGACAAATCGACGTCGCAAACGCATTTCTCTACGCACCTGTGGATGCAGAAATCTTCGTCGAGCTCCCGCACGGCTCCCGCGGCGAACCCAACCGAGTCTGTCAACTGCTTAAGTTGCTCTACGGGATCAAGCAGGCACCGCGACTGTGGCAGCAGTACCTACACGCCCGCCTCATTCGCATCGGTTTCAAACAACTCCCGCACGACCAGGGCATGTATCGCCTCACAAAGGGAAGTGACTACGTTCTCCTAATCGTCTACGTGGACGATCTCCTCTACATTGGGTCAACCGACGGCATCGCCACGTGGTTCGAAGGGGAGCTTCAGAAAGACCTCATGCTCACGGTCTCTTCTACCGTTACGCAGTACCTCGGGCTCAACATCCGCGAGGAAGAAAACGCAATCTATCTAAGCGCCGAGAAGTACACCGACACCATCGCGAAACGCTTCAGCCTCACACCAAGCGCCATCTCCACGCCTTACCGCTACACGTCAGGAACCGAAAAGGGACGATCTACCCTACTCAAGCCCGCCGGCATACGCGACTATCAGAAGAAGCTCGGATGTCTTCTCTTCGCAGCAGTCACATGCCGTCCCGACTTATCCTACTCCGCGAGCCAGCTCGCCACCTATCTCAAGAAGCCTGAAGCAGAGCATCTGGCGGAACTCGATCGCGCTCTCCACTATTTCGTCAGCACCGCGACGATCGGATTAACTTATCACAAAAACGCAACTACACCGACCAAGCTAATCGGCTACGTTGACGCCGATCACGCCGGCGACACCGATAACAGGCGCTCACGCACCGGCTATGTCTACCGCCTCGAGCCTATCGGTCCTATCTCCTGGCAGTCGAGTAAGCAGGAGTTAATCGCACTGTCTTCAGCTGAAGCAGAATATATTGCACTCTGCTCAGCCACCAAGGAGGGACTTTACCTTCGCGAACTGCTGGAAGAAGCGAAGTTAGCCGAGTTACCCAGCTTCACCGTGTTCTGCGACAACCAGTCAGCAATTCGCATCGCCAACAAGAACGGCTTCGCAAACAGGACGAAACACATCGCCCTGCGCTATTTCTTCGTGAAGGACGAGATCGAAAAGGGGAAACTCGATCTGTCATACTGTCCCACGTCTGAGATGGCAGCCGATTACTTGACCAAGAAGCTCGGAAAGCAGAAGTTCGAATACTGCATGCTGCTGACTGGACAAAGCCACGTCACCTGCAGCGACACTCCAGAAGCGAAGGGGAGTGTTGGAAACAATAAGTCTTAGTGCGCTTCTGTCGTGTCAAAACCCAAGACACTAGCGAAGCAGTCCGAATCGAAGCATCGAGTCAAACCTCGGAGGTTAGGGTAACCGCCTGGAGGTTACGGGAAAGTCAAAGGTCAGCGACCTTTGACTCGACAATTACAGCGCGACAGTTAAGGACACACAACTAACTCGTTACAGAGCAGTTGCCCGAGTCGCAAGGTATCGAATCGCAACAGCAAATACAGTTATCTATCCATTCGTATTCCCTGTACTCTTATATAAAACCTTGTATTTGCTTGTTTAATTCAATCCACTTTGCTCTCACACACTAGTGCAAGGTCGGTTCACAAACTTCATTAAACGCTTCCGCTATTACAAATATCCTACCCAGAGTTATCCTCTGCAAAGATCCTTAAGGGCTTTCTCAGCCCAACAGCATGATGCATTTTAACATTCACTTAGTAGAATCCACCTACATTTCACACTTTGTTGTTCATCTGTACAACCATGTTGAAGTCAGAATATTATGCTCGGCTGTACCATCCGCCATATTAATCGACGATGCTGGGACGGTGGAACAAGTTCATGGTTTCAACATGATACGCACGTGCATAGTACCGGTATTTGGTTTCAAATTTAGGGATATCATTCAATAGTGGTTTTTATTCACTCTTTGAGGCATCCGTTTGAACACAGTTTCAGAAAGTTCAAACAGGTGCTCCAAAGAGTGCATGGAAAATCACATTTGAAATGATATCCCCGAAGTGTGAAACCAAATATAAAGGGTTGCTACGCAACCTAGAAATCTGTTTTCCCACCAGCAGTTTACCGTCATCGCCCGGATATAAGACATATATGTCTTATCTTCTACACGGGCAAAAATGCTTGAGTTATCTTGTAAACTGGATGGTTTAGGGTGTCTTATAAGTCTTATAAATGGAAAAAAAATAAGTTGACTGTAACACTTGCAAAGTGTGTAGAAACCCCCCAAAGACCAATTTCATTTAAACAGGCCGACCTCGGTGGTGATGCATGCAGCGCCCACACTTTCCACGTGAGGGAGCTGCCACCGCTGGCAACATTCCTCTGTGCTGGCAGCATCTAATGATGCTGCTAGCGTCGTTTTGCTGCCAAGAGCGCATGGATGCTTCCAGAACGCTGCTGGCAGCACGTTGGCAGCGTGAGGGCTGTCCTCTACGAGGAGATGCCTCGTAGAGGAGCGGCTCGGCACCTGTGGATGGGGCACTCTGGCTGGGGGGGGTAGTCGGGCTCTCACTTCATTTCGTGCTCAAGGAGGTTGAATACTCGTCTCAACCTTGCTCTCGGCAGGCTCTCTAACCATGCGCAGCAAAGTACCAGTAGGCAAGTCCTCACCTCGTCCTCACGTGCAGGCTAATAACTACGGGCGAATTAACTCGCCCGGCGATGACATCCGTGTAGCCATGGCGAAGAACGCGAGCAAGGCGGCAAGTCCTACCGCCGCCTCCGGTGCGAGCTGTGACGGGGACGACGGAGACGAAGCGAACGGCGACGACGCCGAGGAGGATTGGCTGGAGAACGGCCACGACGATAGCGCTTCAGGCGACGATGTAGGTCCTGCTGACATCGAGGAGGACGACTGGTGGAATCGGCCGGTCGGGAGCGACGACGAGGTGGAAGAGTGGCATGCTGGTGATTCCGACAACGACGGAGGTAAAGATGCGCATGGTAACAACGCGGAGGCAGCGGCGGATGCACAGGAAGCGGCTGTGGATGCGAATGAGGAGGCTGACGACGAGGCGGGGGCGGAACTTGAGACATTTGCGCCTGCGGATGCGGCTGCAGTTGCGGATGCGGAAGGCGAGGAAGGCGGCGACGACGACCCATGGAGCTTTGGGACCGACGACGATGTCCCGCTACTGAAGCGGAGGCTGCGCCATTGCCTACAGTCCAAGTCAAAGCGGGCCCGCGTGGTGCTCTCTAACGACGACGGTCCGGGGGAGGAGCGTCGCCCGATACTCACCGCTGCGGAGAAGGGGAAAGCCAAGGTCGCGGAAGCCCTTGCTAAGGCCCCTGCTAAAGCCCCTGCTCGTCGCCGCACAAGCAACAAGAAGCTGACATCCGACGGAGACCCGGGATCCAGCAAGGGTGCGGCTAAGAAGAAGGCGAAGAAGGCGCCGAATCCTGACGACATCGTCGTGAACGAGCCGCTGGGCAGCGACGATGAGTACGCGGCGGCGGCGGGCCCGATTCCCACGTTCCCTGAGAAGGTAACGCCGAGGGACCCCACCCTCCATAATTCCAACACCCGCCCACCTTCCCCTCGCAGCAAAGATGTCAGAGTATTATAGCTGATGCATGTTTGTAGGCTATAGTGGGGTAGCACATATGGGGTACAGCTTTCTAGGGTTGTATTTGTACCCAACTCTGACTTAGTCATTTCATTCCTGTTTTCCTTGCTTCACATGGTATAGAGCGGGTCCTGCCTTAGGACCGTTTTTTAGGGCCCACCGAAGCGCGCCCCGAGGCGCGCCCTTATTTTTAGCGACCCCTCGGGTCGCCTTTTCCCTCGCGGCCCCGCTGTCCCTCAGACGCGGCCCCGCCACCTCTCCTGATCGCGGCCCCGCCGCCTGCTTGATCGCGGCCCCGCCGCCTGCTTGACGCGGCCCCGCCGCCTCCTCTGACGCGGCCCCGCCGCCTCCCCTGAAGCGGCCCCGCCGCCTCCCCTGACGCGGCCCCGCCGCCTCCCCTGACGCGGCCCCGCCTCTACTGCAGCGGCCCCGCCGCCGCCTCTGACGGCCCTGCCGCTGCACCCTACGGCCCGCCGCTGCACCCTACGGCCCGCCGCCTCTGACGGCCCCACCGCTGCACCCTCGGCCCGCCGCTGCTCCTGCCGGCCCGCCGCCTCACCTGACGGCCCCGCCGCTGCTCCTGCCGGCTCGCCGCTGCTCCTGCCGGCCCGCCGCCTCACCTGACGGCCCCGCCGCTGCTCCTGCCGGCCCGCCGCTGCTCCTGCCGGCCCGCCGCTGCACCTGCCGGCCCGCTGCTGCACCCAGCGGCCCGCCGCTTCACCTGACGCCCCCGCCGCTGCACCTGCCGGCCTGCCGCTGCACCCTACGGCCCGCCGCCTGCACCTGCCGGCCCACCGCTGCACCTGCCGGCCCGCCGCTGCACCTGCCGGCCCGCCGCTGCACCTGCCGGCCCGCCACTGCACCGGTCGACCCGCCGCTGCACCTGACGGCCCCGCCCCTGCATCGCCCGGGAGCCGATCCGCCCAACGCCGAGCCGCCCGGGACCCGAGCCGCCCTGCCGCCGAGCCGCCCGGGAGCCGAGCCGCCCTGCACCCGAGCCGCCCAGCCGCCGAGCCACCCGGGAGCAGAGCCGCCCTGCGCCCGAGCCGCCCAGCCGCCGAGCCGCCCGGGAGCCGAGCCGCTGTACACCCGAGCCGCCCGGTCGCTGAGCCGCCTTTCTGCATAGCTGCACGACCTGCCCTGCCTGGTGAGCACAGTCCCACTGACACTGCGAGCTCTTTCCCTACTGCTTGCACTGCGTCGCTGTCGCCGCCATGGCTACCCCTAGTGTCCTAGCTTTTGACGCTGAGGGTCGCGCCATTGATTTTGAGGTCTGGTTAGACGACCTGCAGCTGTTCTTACAGTGCGACAGGGCTGACGACCTTTCTCTCTTTGACCTCACCTCTGGCGCCTCTCCTGCCCCTGCTGCTGATGCTGATCCCGCTGTCCGCTCTAAGTGGGCCACCCGCGATGCTGCTGCACGTCTTGCTGTGCGTCGCCACCTCCCTACCTCTGAGCGTGCGCACTTTAGTCAGTACAAGAGTGCTCAGACCTTGTACGACGCTGTAGTTGCGCGCTACTCCTCCCCTGCCACTGCTGCACTGAGCCGTCTCATGCTTCCCTACCTCTTTCCTGACCTCTCTGCCTTTCCCACTGTCGCTGACCTCATTACACACCTCCGCACTAGTGACACTCGCTACCGCGCCGCCCTTCCTGCTGAGTTCTGCGCTAAGAACCCCCCCCCCATGTACATCGCTCTCTACTACGTAGTCGCGCGCCTCCCTGACTCCCTTCGCGTCGTCAGGGACCACTTTCTCGCAGTCTGTCCCACCACCCTCACCGTCGACCTCCTCGAGAAGGCCCTCCTCGCAGCGGAGAAGAGCATAGTCGCTGTAGGTGCTTCTCGTGGTGACCCTCGCACCCCCATCTTTGAGGGGTGCTCTCCTTCCCCCTTGCTGCCCTCTGTTGCCTCTGCTGCTGCTGCCGACCTGCTTGGTCTTGAGTCGGTCGGCGCGGCGTCTGCCCCTAGTGGGAGACGTTGCTCCAGCAAGGGCAAGGGGGGCAAGGGCGCGGGTGGAGCTGGAGGGGGCGGTGGCGGTGGCGGCGGTGGCGGCGGAGGGAGTGGGGGTGGCGGCGGGACTAGTGGCGGAGGTGGTGGTGGTGGTGGCAGCAGTGGCGGAGACGGTGGTGGTGGTGCCAGCGGTGGTGGTGGAGGCAGCGGCGGTGGTGGAGGAGGCGGAGGTGGAGGCGGTGGTGGCGGCAGCGGAGGAGGCGGTGGTGGTGGTGGAGGTGGAGCTGGTCGAGGTGGTACCCAGCAGCGTAGCGGCGGTGGTGGTGGCCAGCGCTCGCAGCGGCAGCAGCAGCAGCGCTCGCGGGACATCCCTCCGCCTCAGCAGCTTCGTGAGTGGTATGCTGGGCGTCAGAGGGGTGGGGGTACTGGTCCCTGCACCTACGTTCTTCGTTCCGGCGACCGCGCGGGTGAGCAGTGTGGGGGTGCCCACGCCACCCAGCGCTGCTTTGGCCGCCTGACGGACGCTTGGCGTCAGCAGTTCCCTGGGGCTAGTGAGATCCCTCGCTGGGATGAGCTTCTCAGGGCTGGTGTAGCGATCTTTGATCTTGATTTTGATGCTATCCTTGCTGCTATGTATGTTGTGGATTATAGTGAGGAGAATGAGGGTTACCGTTGTTTCCAGCCCGACCCGGGCATTGGTACTGCTGCGCTAGGTGCTTGTGAGGCTGCTGCTCTAGGTGCCAGTGCGTCTGTGCTCTCAGGTACTGGTGAGACTGCGCTCTCAGGTACTGCGTCGTCCTCGTCCTCCCTCACTTTCACACTTGACTCCGGAGCTTCTCGCTCCTTCTTTCGAGACCGCACTACCCTTACGCCGCTCGGCCGGCCGGTTGCGGTCTCCCTTGCTGACCCCTCTGGGGGTCCTGTCCTGTCTCACTTCTCCACTGTCCTCCCGTGTCCGGCTGCCCCTTCGGGCACCCTGTCGGGTTTGCACCTTCCCTCGTTCTCTACGAACTTGGTGAGTGGAGCGGACCTGCAGGATGTGGGGGTTCACCAGTTCACTCCTGCGAGTCAGCGGGTGACCCACTACACGGAGGCACGCACAGGCCGACACCTGGCCACGTTCTCGCGTCGGCCGGGGTCGAGTCTCTACACCCTGACCGTTGAGTCTCCTCCTGTCCCTGCGTCCGGTCAGGTGGCTGCGTCGGGTCAGGTGCTTGCTGCTGCGTCCCGGTCAGGTCCTGAGTCTGCCCCCTGTTCTTGTCGCCTCCTGTCTCACGAGACTCTCCTGTGGCACCACCGTCTTGGCCACCCCTCCTTGCCCCGTCTTCGGAGCATGGCTTCCCGTGTCCTTGTCTCTGGTCTTCCCCAGTCTCTCCCTCCTCTCCCCTCCGGGCCGGGACCTTCCTGTGTCCCCTGTGTCGAGGGTCGCCTCCGGGCTACTCCTCACTCCTCCCACTTCCCCCCGACAGAGGCTACCCTGCAGACGCTTCACATGGATGTGTGGGGCCCAGCCCCCGTCCGTGGGCAGGGTTACGAGCGCTACTTCCTGTTGGTGGTTGACGACTACTCGCGTTACACCACAGTCCTCCCCTTGCGCAGCAAGGGTGCGGTCACTGAGGTACTGATCGACTGGATCCGCGAGGCTCGTCCCCAGCTCAGGAAGAGCTTCGGCTCGGACTTTCCTGTTCTGCGTCTGCACTCTGACAGAGGCGGAGAGTTCTCTTCTCGCCTTCTGCGGGACTACTGTCGTGCACGGGGGATCCGCCAGACCTTCACGCTTCCGGACTCACCACAGCAAAATGGGATTGCTGAGCGCCGCATTGGCATGGTCATGGATGTCGCTCGTACGTCCATGATGCATGCGGCTGCCCCCCATTTTCTGTGGCCGTTTGCGGTGAGGTACGCGGCGCATCAGCTCAACCTTCACCCCCGGGTCTCTCGGCCTGCGATGTCCCCAACCTTGCTGTAGACGGGGAAGGTTGGCGATGCGTCTGTGTTCCGTGTCTGGGGATCTCGGGCGTTTGTCCGCGACTTGTCTGCGGACAAGCTGTCCCCTCGTGCTGCTCCCTGTGTCTTCCTTGGCTTCCCCACTGACGCCCCAGGGTGGCAGTTTTACCACCCCTCCTCTCGTCGTGTTCTGTCCTCCCAGGACGTCACATTCGACGAGTCAGTCCCCTTCTACCGTCTCTTCCCCTACCGCACTCCTTCCCTCCCCCCTCCCCCGGACTTCCTTGTGCCGGTTCCCCCCCCGGTAGACCCCCTCCCCCCTCAGGTTCCTGCCCCCTAAGGTGTGTCCCAGTCGAGGTTACTGGTGACTCTGGTGCTGCTGCGGGTGCTGAGACTGGGGGTGCTGACTCTGGGGGTGCTGTGCGCGGGGGTGCTGAGCCTGGGGGTGCTACTGCTGGGGGTGCTGGGCCTGAGGGTGCTACTGCGGAGGGTGCGGAGCCTGGGGGTGCTGAGCCGGGGGGTGCTGTGCCTGGAGGTGCTGGGTCTGGGGGTGCTGGGTCGGGAGCTGCTGAGCCTGGGGGTGCTGAGCTGGGAGCTGCTGAGCCTGGGGGTGCTGCGTCTGGAGCTGCTGAGCCTGGGGTTTCTCCTGCTGCTGCGTCTCGCCGGGAGCCCCTCTCTCCACAGGAGCTGCGCGAGTGGTTCGCTCGCCGCTGGAGGCGTGCTGCTGAGTCTAGAGGTGCTGCTGGAGCTGGAGCTGGAGCTTCTTCGACCGTCGAGGGTGCGGGTGCTGCCGGTCCCAGAGCTGCTGGACCTGCGGGTCCTCCTGGAGCTGGAGCTGCTGAGGGCGCTGGTGCTGAGCCTACTACTGTTGGTCCTGCCGCTGGAGGTGTGGGTGGCGCTGGTGCTGTCGCTGAGGGTGCTGGTGCTGTCCCTGCTGCGTCTGGAGCTGCCGCGCGGCCTCGGCCGTACTTCGTTCCGCTCCTGCAGCAGGTTCTTGGTCTTTCTCCTCCATTAGAGGGTCCACCGCCTGTCCAGTCGCAGTCCCTGCTGGAGCCTTCCTCTCCCCTGCCTGCTCCCTCTCCTTACACTGGTCCTACTGGAGGTCTTGCTGAGCGTCGTGAGCCTGCGTCTCGTCCCGCGTCGCCTGTTCGTGCTGCTCGCGCTAGTGGTCGCAGTTCGCGTCAGCGTCCTCCCCCTGTCCCTGGCACGCATCGGATGTCTTTGCGTCCGTCCACTGCTCCTCTGCGTGCCCCTTTGCCTTCTCCTCCGGAGTCCTCTCTTCCTGCGCTTGCCAACCCTGAGTCGGACTCTCTTCGTGCTGCCAGTCCTACTGTCACGCGTCTGCTTGCTACTGTCGTCACTGACC